TTTAGTGCAGTCTGTACTATCCTTTCCCAACTGTTCTGTTTGTGCAAGTTTCTGAAGATTCATTGGCCAAACAATGAATAACAAAGGTTTTCTGAATAAATACAAGATGGACTTTCATTTTATTAGTAAATAGCACTGGTACTGTTGAATGAAAATACTATGATCTCTTAGTCTTTCAAATCAGCATTAATGTCTGTGTTTCCTTCCACTGATAGCTCTTCTAGTTTCACTGAGAAAAGAGTGTTAGCATTTTTATCTAGGACACTCTCTTCTAAATCCTTAAGCAACTCCTCCTCTTTATATTCTGCCACATCCACTTCCAGCCCCGAGTTGTCCTTTAGTTTACCATGGTGCTTGAGAGAGTATCTCTGGTTCTGGAAGAACTTGATGATGGTGTACTTGGGGAGGTCGAGCTGGGCTGACAGAGTCTGGATAGCCTCCTCATCTGGGTATAGGCCCAAGTCTTGTTTGAAGCTCTGGAGGATGCCCAGGGCTTCCACTGAAATTTTGGTTCATGGCCGGGTCTTCTGCTTGTTCTCCTCATCAGACTCAGCAGGTGAGGCCACAGTGGGCTGCTGTGGGAGAATCAGGGGGCCTGCCTGTGCCTGTGGCTGCGACTGTGGCTGCGGAGGGGCTGGTGGCTGCTGCTGCTGCTACTGCTGCTACTGCTGCTGCTGCTGCTGCTGCTGCTGCTGCTGCTGCTGATTCTGCTCTGCTGGAATATGGATGATACAGGTGTGCTTATCAGCCTGTTGCCATGGTGATGCACAGCATTGCTTTCCTGTTCATAAATGGCATCCCTTTCTGGCTGAGGAAGACTGAGAAACCTCCGGATCATGAATAGGTTCTCCCACACGATCCTGTCTTTGGGAGAAGGGTCTTCTTTCCAGCTTAACAGCTCACACAACCATCCCTGTCTTTTGGCTTCTGCAACCTTTGTAAGCTGTGCTTCAGACACTTTAGCACACTTCATTTCCTGCTGAATCTCATCATAAATGGAGGCATTAATGTTCATGTCATTGTTCTCTGCTTTCCCATTCCTCTCAGAAGCAATCATAGCTGTTTTCACCTGGGGAGGGCAGCTGGGCGGTGTGCTTATCAGCGAAGCTGGACCCATGGCCGAAGTAGCATTCAAGCTCCTTTCCTTTTCATCCTGGTATATTTGGTCTCTTTCAGTTTCTGGTAATTGCAAGAAATTCTTCATACCCCAAAGGTTTACCAGTAAAGACTGGGATGCAGTCTTGGGGTCCTATTCCTTCCGGAGGATTTCTGAAAGCAAGCCCTGACTTCTGTTAAAAACTACGCATGCAAATACTGCTTGGGAGGGGTGGGAGTTTGAGCTCAGCAGTACAGTGCCTGCCTGGCAAGCACAAGGTCATGAGTTTGATTCCCTGTACCAGAATGCCGCCCCCCCCCCAAAAAAAAATACTGCCTGGGAGATTCCTGTTCATTTTACGTCATTGCAAACCCTCTGGTAGATTTCAGAAGACACCTCTGCATTGCTTGAAACCTGTTGCTCCAAAGGCTTATTCATAGAGGATGAATGATTCATAGAGACTGAGAAACCTCCGGATCATGAATAGGTTCAAATATTGTTGGTTTAAGGACTGTTTACTGCTGGTTCAGCAGTTGTGCCATCACCAGCTGCTGGTTGACCAACTGAGGACTGATAGGCATTGACACAAGCCCAGGATGCAGGTTCAGAAGAGGGGTCTGCACAAGGGCTGGCTGCCATGGGAGAGCTGCGCTGGGGATAGAGGCTGCTCAGCTGTGTTCCCTGGGACTGGCTGCTGGCCAAAGTTGATGTGATTTGCCCCTTGCTGGGATAGTTCAGAGAGACTATCCATTTCAACCATCATTTCTTTTATCTTCTTGAAATGTTTGTACCACCTTCCAAATTCTTGACGTTTTGCTGCTGAGACATTTGCATAGTAAGTGCTTTTCACAGTGGAAGAAATAATACTTTATGAAAGGGGGCACTTCTTGGCCAATGAGCTTTGATTCATATCTTTGCATAAGTCCTTCAGAGCATTCTTTACTGTGGTGTGTGACCACTGTTCAGAAGGCAAGTCTTCTAGTTTGGGGCAACTGTGTAACTGAATTTTCAGTGTGACAACATGATACACATTGTCTTGGTTACTTTTCTCTCATTGCTGAGACAAAATACCCAATGCCCAAAATTAAGGAAGGAAAGGTTTATTTAACTTACAGTTTGTAGAGGCTTCAGTCCATACTTGGCTGGCTCCGAGACAGAGCAGCACATGGCAGAGGGCAAATGTTCATGGTGGTAGAAAACAGCAAAGCAACGAGCAAAAGGGCGAATGGCACCAAGCAGCCCCTTTCTCTCCCTTACATTGTAAACAGCCTACCCCCACCCAGGGGGCGTGTAGCACTCACGTAATCTCCATGCCCTCCTCTTCCACAGGCTCAGGATGTGTACAAAGTAAGCACCCTGGCTCCCTACTGAGTCACTTAGCCAAACCTCTAGACTCCCCAAGTTGACCCAGTGCATCAACCATAACACACATCTTGAAGCATATCTGCTACTATGGCATCAGGGGCATCTGTCACATAAGACAGTGGAACTGGATTCTACTTTCCAACCTGGATTAGCCCTTTGGCCTGGGCAGCAGAGCTATGCAAATAACCTAGAGACAACAGTGCTAATTCTATCAGGGGGTTGAAAAGCATATCCTTTCTCACCAACACAAATTCTGCATGCTCCTCCTTGCAATCATATTCAGTGGGGTTTTCATAATGTTCCAGCACAGAGAACAGGTAGCATGGTTCCTTTCCTAAGGTTGGTTTTCATCAGATGGTCCGAGTGTTTTAAAGGCACTCCCTGCATTTTTGCACCTGCGCTCCCAAGCCTTCCTCTTCCTAGAGGGCTCCTGTTCTGCTCCAGGCAGGCAATTTGGCTGGTAGACCCTTCAGATCACTCACGTTATGTTCTTTCCCCTGAGTTGTCTCTTTCAAATGATCCATACGCAGGCACTCTCTAAAGATCACCACTTCAAAACTCCACAGCATATAAATAACAAAAACAAAGGAGATTTCCTTTGCAGCCCGGGGCTCTTGAAGTGAAGTTCAAGACTGATGTTTTCTATATTCCTTCTTTCTAATTAAGAAAAAA